AAATCGTACTTTAAGGAGTGTAGTGTTAGGACTTTTGAAAATGGCTTTTGTATCCATTGCCTTAGTCCACTCTGGAGGCATGGTCTCCAGTTGCCTCAACTGTAGATATGTGGTTCACCCATTGATCAGCATCTTCACCATCATTAACAACTGTGAGATCCCAACATAAGAGAGGGAGCTCTTGTGACAGAGAGACTGTAGTGAGTTATAGCCTAACGGAGCCCTGGAGATCGAGCCAGAGTTAAAGGTCTGTTTGCTAGATGATTGAAGGAAGGGATGAGTTGTGACTGCTATGAGACAAAGCTTGCTAGATGATTAAGGAATACAGAGGCTTCTTGCATTTACGTTTCTGGACTGAACCTGGACTTTCATTTGTTAACTGTGAAGCTCTCTGTTCTTTGTCTCCTCTACTCCCTATTTTTCTAACAAATTTCACAACCGTGAGCAAAGTAAAGTCAATGAGTAAATTTGGAACAAACAGAAGACCCAGCAGTAATCAGCAGAAGTAGGTGCAGGAATATGTGAGGTTATGTCTGATCTTGTAGCTACTTTTTTGGGACTGTGGATGTTATTAAACATGTTGCCGCAAATAAGGGTAATACATCGGGGGAGGGGAGGGAGGTGTTTCTAAGCATGGTTGTCAATTTAGAAGTGTGTGGCAACGTGTTAATGGGGACAGTTCCCCTTTGTGGATTTAGTACAGGCTCGTTCCTTCTCCATATTGTCCACATTCCCCTGCATCTTTTTCTAGGATATTGTCTTTTTTCTGTGGAGTTTCTAATGGATTTGTACTGCCAGAAAACTGTGTCCTTTGAGTTAGCAACTCCCTGCGGACTGTTTCACCAGAGCTTTTATATCATTTTTATTATTTTATATTGGTTTGCATACAAAATTAATATACATTGTCTTTTATTCACACATGTTGTGTTTCACACATTCCTTAATTCCATCGGAAGGTTTGTTTATAAGTACGAATGTTCACACTGAGCTACTCAGATATGACCTACCCATCGAGAGCACCAGCTGCCTTCATGGCACTGTGAAAATGCTTGTTTGTTTCCCTCAGAAACAAACCCTGGGAAGAGTGACAGAGAAGCAGGGGCAGGCATAAAGACAAAGACCTACTTAAATCTTTCTTCTTACCATTAGAAACTTATCTCTTATTCTTGCATGACTATTTGTTGCCTCTGGTAAGAAAGTGAAAAGTAACTGTATGAAATTTGTGTTATTAGCAAAAGCCAGTATGTTTTAGCCTCAGTGTTTTCCCCCAGACTGTGGCCTTTCATTGATCTTCTCAAGTCTCTACTGCTACAGCCTCAATTCAACAGTATGAGAAATCAACAAACAGGGAGCCACCTACGCTTCGCTTTTCTTCATTGCAAGAATATTATGGAATATTCTTAAATGGAGTCACTAGAATGGAAGCTCCTCCAAAATAGTATCTTTGTTTTTTCTTTCATCATTGTACCTTTTGGGTCTGCAGTCAGTAATGCTTTGTACACAGTAAAAACTTAAGCAATATTTTATAAAGTCAATGAATTCCTGACTATTGGGCTGTGTTGGGCTATGTTTCCTGATGAAAATCACAGAACTCTTCACACATTGAACTTTCACTCATCTGGGTCTACTTTTAGGACCAGCATCATATTGCATATCTTTTGGCTTTCTTCAACTATACTAGTATTTCAGATCCAAAATTTATTGGTTGGTCCAATTCCTATTCTTCCTACAGAGTGAATTCACTACCTTTGGAAATTGAGAGATAGATACTAATGTATTGATAATTTGAACTTGGTTAGTGCTCCTGAGCCTTAAAGTCACCTTTTACACTTCTTGGTAGATATCTTGCTTTTTCATCTGAGTCCTGTTTCTCTGGTAGTTGATATGCAATTATGAATGTGGGCCATGAATTCCAGTCACTCTCCACTCTGATTTTTGCACATGTAGTCATTCTGTGAGATCTGTGGTTCTATATCTCTTCACCTACTCTTTGTTTTTATGGGAGGTTGAGAGAAGCCTCAAGTATATAAAGCAATTCTAACCTTCCAGTCAAGTATCTACGTCCTGAACATTTTTTGTGAGGCATATTTTCACCATGACTTGAAACTGTATCTGTCTTGTGGTAGAATTCTACTCAAAGAGTTGACATCAAACAACGTTAGAGCCCTTTTCTTTATTAACTTCCAAAGATTTTAGAAACTCTGAGTCTGAGAGTTAAAGTGAAAAGAAATTACTAATTCCTTTTTTTAAGGACTTTAAAAGTATTTTCCCTTTTTCTTTCATTCAATGAGCCACTAAAGTGCTGCATAGATTTGTCTCTTTGTTTGATATATTCTACTCCAACACCAATTTTTCTCCATATTTTAATTTTAATTTCTTTAGGATCTGTGAGAGTTCTTGACTTATTTTAGGGAATATCTTTCTGGCTTTGCTGGATTGTTCCATTGATGTCATTATTTTTAAAACCCTACCATTTCCATAGAGCTGATTCCACATAAGGAAAAACTGAGTTCAACATTTTAAAACTCAATTATGGGGGAGGGATTGTATAGCAATGAAAGAATTTTTATTTTACTTTTCAAAGAGAAGAGTGAACTGGAGGAGGAGGGTAGGCAGGGAGAAAAGTGCAACAATGAATGAATGAATGGAAATCTAAAGTCTCTGTAAACTTTCATTAAAATTAATAATAATAAGAAGAAGAATAAACAAAAAACCCTTCAATTATGAGAGAGAAGATGTAAAAGAAAACCTAAAATTAACTGACATTGTGAGACTCATCTGGTAGATCATAAAACAAATACACAAAACTTAACAAATACCATTACTAAGAAACAAAATTTGTTGTGTCCACAGATTTCTTGAAAAGTTGCAAGGGAGGGCTGAGGTAAGGCAGCTGCAGGTGTGGACTCCAAACTCCTCAGGAGCTGTGTGATCTCTTCCTGATTAAAACACATGTTTAGATCTCCAGTTTCTCCAGATTTTTTTAAAATAAAAAAGTAGTGATAGATTTGTTTGAAAGTTACATCCTCAAAAGGATAGAACCTCCTCCTTGAAAGGAGACATGGGAGAGAGAGCCAGTTTCTCCATTTTTAATGTGTGTTTAGTTAGAGCACAAACCTCAAAGATTGTTTTGAGAATTAAATCAATTGTTATTAGTCACTTAGAGGTTCCTAGCACATGTTGACCTCACAATCTTATCAATTTACTGCGCTATAAATTAGTATAATCTCCCTTCATTTCCCCTTTTCCTTTGTGGTTTCATTTCCACATCCTTTATATAATCACATTTCCTGAGATCTCAGGCCCTTCTCTCCCCCAATCCACAACCTCCTTGTCTGTTAACTTCTCCACTTCCCATCTTTCTCTGTCTGTCTTTCTCTCTCTCTCTCTCTGATTTTTCTCCAATTGTCCATTAATCTTTCCTGATACTATTCCATCCTATTCCTGCTCTTTATTCTAGTCTGAGGTTTCTCAGCCTAGGCACTGTTACAATCTGGGCCACATCAGCCTTTGGGTGAGGTAGGGCCTATCTTTTATTTTGTGCACTGGTTAGTAACATCTTGAAGCTGTCTCCCACACTTTGAGCATGTTGCCAGAAGGGATTAGTCTTTGGAGAAGGTTATTGTTCTTGGAAGGGAGGATGGAGAGTAAGGGCAAGAGAGAAAGACCCTAGATGAAATATATTGACACAGTGATTGTGGCAATAGGGTCAGGTGTGTCAGATACAGTGAAATTGGCTCAGGATAGGCCACGGTTCAGAGCCATTGTTCACAGGTTCATTATGACTCATAGTCGACTTTACGGCACATAACAACAGTCCACTGGATGCAGTAATATTTTCCCACCTTCTAAATTATAATAATAAAATGTCTCTCAAAACTCAAAGACATTGCTGTATGGTCAGTGCCAACTCCTAGCTCGATCCTTCCAGATTTCCCATCCCTCTCCAACTGGTTCTAGAGGTTCAAATGGCCCTGGTTGGGAGTTAGTGTATGTTCTGCCCCTTTTCTGATCATTGTCTACCCCAGTGGAGTAGACAGGAGCCGTGTTAAATGAATGCTCCCTGCTAGCCGAAAGATCACCAGTTCTAATTCATTAGCCCCTTCTCAGGAGAAAAGTGTGACAGTCTACTCCCATGAAGACTACAGCCTTGGGGTAGGTAGCTCCCTTATGTCTAACAAGGTCACTCTGAGTAGAAATTGATTATACAGTGGTAGCTTTGTTTTTCTAGCGGCAAGAAGCGGCGCCACAATCCCAAAGGCACAAGGTTCAAATCCACTAGCTGCTCCACAGAATGATGGACATTCTCCTCCCATGTGATGAACTGCCTCTGAAAACCCACCGGAGGGACACCTGTGGGTCGGTTATGACTCTATAGTACACAGCAATAACATCTACTATATCGTCATTCTTTTCAGACTATATATCTACTACATATCGGAGACTTCCTTTTGCCCAGCAAAAACAAATAGTTCTCAGAAGAGCCTGGGGATCGTCCTGTGAGACAGACACCCACTCCTTGTTTCCTAGAAGAAGTGGATCCTTTTATTGGTGTTTTCACGCGCTCTGTTCACCTTACCTCTGAATCCCAGCATACTGAGATCCTAGAAGGATGCCAGTTTCTCTGCTCTAAGGTACCCACGGAAACCCTCCCCTCCACCACATTCCTTCCCTAACTTAACGCAGTGTTGGGTTTGTAGACCAAGGAGAGGCACACACAACCGCCCTCTAGGAAGGGGCTAAATTAACTAAACGATACACAGTGAATGATATGAAGAATTTTATTTTCTACAAAGTTAAACTCAAAGGCCAAACGAAATGTTATCAGCCAGTGCAGGGGCGGAGGAAGTGAAGACCTAGAAGAGTTTAGGAAGCTCTGAGCGCCACACTAACATCAGCGAAGCTTGGCCTGTGAGAGGTGATCTGGGAAAGCAAGCTCAGGCTGCGGCGGTCTTTGACCTTTGGGCATTTTCCTGCTTGCGTCTTACATGCTAGCCAGGTCAGCAGCAGCCGCCAGAGCTGTGGCCACAGCCAGAGCCCCCCAGCTGGTCGCTGCCATCATAACTGCAGTTGGAGCTCCTGCGCCCACAGAGGTGGGACCTGCGGGGCCTGTGGTGGCTCAGGAAGCAGCCAGTCTCGGAGCTGGGGCCATGGCAGCCCGCGGAGGTCAGGGCACAGCCAGAGGAGACTGGGGGCAAGCACTGTGCGGGCTTCTTAGGGGGACACTTGGGAGAAGGACACTTAGGAGGGGGCTGGCACTGCTGCTGGTTCTGCTGGCAGGACATCTTGGTGGAAGGGTACTGAGCCTGGATAGATTAAAAGAAAAGATCAGTGGAAACCTCCCCACCAGCCACTTCTCTATGAGTTGTCTTCTCAAACTATCCTTACACCCCTGCCAGCTGCTTCCTTAATTGTGATCTTCAGACAAACAAAACGGATATAAATTAGCCTGACAAGACATCTCTTTTCCTTTGCTTTGCTCTCCTGCCAGAAAAGAATACTGACCTTTGCTTACTGGGCCCTAAAGACTTCCCGTCTTTGTGAAAAGGTGGAATTCTATTTTACCATTTGGGCAATGACTACAGGAGGCTTCCAGATGCATGACCATCCCTAAGGATGAGGCCTGGAGGGGACACTCAAAGCCTGGGCTCTGGCATGTCACAGACGCTCATGCACAGTGAACAACACCCTGGCTCACTGTCAAATTCCTGTCCTCAGACACCTGCCACCCTTTCTCCTACAACCTTCATATCAGGCTCCTGGGCATCCTTCTTTCCCACTAAAGTCTGAGCTTTCCTTCCTTGTACTACAAGCCAAAAGTCAGTTCCCTTCCAAACTTACCAAATGCAGTGGAAGCAAAAGTCAGTTCCTGAGGAGGCTGTGAAGGAGGCACCCAGGCAGGAGGCTTTTTATCCTGTGCTGGTTTATGATGCAGTACCTGGGCATGCTGCTGCTTTCACAACCAGGGAGGGGACAGATGAGCAGTCCAAGCTCAGGCCTCCACCGTCTTCCTGCATATTTGCCAATGTCTGACAAGACAGAACCAGGAAATCCTGATGATTATGCAATACTTCCTAGCAAGTGTGTTGAGGACCTGCCATTTCTCTTCCTAACACTCATTCCTTAGTTTGATATGACCATCTTAAATAATTTGCCTAGCTCTGGTGGCTTAGTGGAAAGGAATTGTGTTGATAATACAAAAATACGTGGTCTAAATCCACCAGCTGCTTGGTGGAAGAAAGATGGCCAGTTTCTTCCTGTGTGATTTAACGGCTCTGAAAACCCACTGGAAAGTCAGCTACAGGTTGATTTCAACTCAGTGGTACAGCCAACAACACTCATTCAGCACAAATACTTTAACTTTAGTTCTGTCTTTTGTTGGCCCTTCCCCCACCCCTCCCTGGCCAGGAGAATGTTAAGAGATATATATATAACAATACGTTTGCTCACCTTGATTATTTTAAATCTAACTGGGTAGACATCAGAGCCTGGTGTGCAGCAGCCTGGGCTCTGAAGCTGCACACAATGAAATCTGGGGCGCTCAGACACAGGCATCTTCCAGAGCTGAAGCTACATCCCGAGCTAGGGATCAACAGGCAGAAAGTGCAGGTAGGCTCTCAACAAGAGATGTTGATAGACACTTCGTAGCGCAGTTAGGAGGAACTTGATGCCATTTCTGCTTTTGCTTCTAAGACACATTGGAGGAAGTTTATTGTTAGGTACTGCCAAGTCAGACGGAACCCATAGATGACCCTCTAGCTGTAAACCAAATGAGAGGAGACTGCCCAGCTTTCTCATGTGGAGCAGCTGATGGATTGAAACCAAGTTTGCATTAAAGTTAAATTTGAGATTAATTAAAGCTTAATTCCTTACCACTTAAAAAAGGAAGAGAGGGGAGCAAAGCAAAAACAAAAACATCAAAACAAACCAGGTTCTGTTGAGTTGTTTCTAACTCAAGTGAATTCCATGAGTAGCAGAGTGGATCCATAGGATTTTCAAGGTTGTGATATTTTAAAAATAGATCTCCAGTTCTTTCTCCTAAGGTCCCTCTAGGTGGCCTTTACCCATCAGTTTTCCAGTTAATATTTCAGTGTATAACTGTTCATAGCATGCAGGGATTCATTTAATGACGCTGTTATTGTTGCTGTGTATCGTGGAGAAGAGATTGCGATTGTTAATAATTTCAGGTTGCTTGACTCCACAAGCAACGCTCTTGGCACCAGTAGTCAGGAAATCAAAAGAAGAATTGCATTGAGGAAGTCTGCTATCAGGGACCTCTCCAAAGTGCTGAAGAGCAATGATGTCAGTCTAAAGACTAAGGTGCACCTGATCCAGGACATGATCTTTGTAATTACATGCTATGCATTAGAGAGCTGTACAGAAACTAAGGAAGATAGAAGAAGAATTGATGTCTTTGAGTTGTGGTGCTGGGAAGAGACTTGAGCTATTGTACATAAGGTCGCTCTGAGTTGCAGATGACTCAATGGCACAAAACAACAACATAATAATAAATAAATAAAGTGGAGTCAGAAACAAACTGACACAGAGCTGACCCTCCAGCAGGTTTTCAGATGTACAGAGTATGGCACTGTAGGAGATTATCCATCTTTCTTCCACAGAACAGCTGGTGGATTCAAACCCTGTGCCTTTGGGTTGGAAGTACAACTCCTTACCACTAAGCTACTAGAGCTGGGAGATTGTTTAAGATAGTCATATCAAACTAAACAAGAATGACCTTTACCGTACTTATTTGAGAGTCTGCTTAGAACTCACACCTTAGGAAAAATTCCTGAGCAGAGAAAAGCAAGGAAGTAGAAAAGAACTCTGAAGAGGGATCTTGGTTGTGGTGTGGGATAATAAAATCTTGGGAGTTCTTTTCTGTCTCGGGATTCTGGCAGAAACTAAGGGGTGGAATTGGGCAGGGTGTGAAAGGTGGGAAGTCGCCTTTAGGAGGTAGCTTCTGATGTCCTTCAGCCCCAGGCCATCTGCATCTGAGACAGGAATGAAGAGTTTGGAAAAGAGAAGGGATCCAAAATATCCCACGTCTGTTCAACTGTCTGTGCCTCAGTCTTGCTACAAGTTTTCACCTATTTAATTATTAAACTGACTCATCTGTTAAAGACCTGCATTTAGATGATGCTATGCACTAGGCACTGTGTTGGGGAAAAGGGATTCAGAAGCAAGGAAGATATTGTCCTCAGCCTTAAGTGCTTGGACGTGTAGTAGAGTCAGAGCAGAAAATAGTACAGCAATGACGAGAAAAGCCAAGAGTGTCAGTGTCGTAATGCACACGTGTACGGAGCCCTCAAGCCTGAAGTCAGAGTTTTTGGGTGTCAATCTCTATTGCTTTGCAATGATTCTGATACATGATGTGTCTAAGTGTCATCTACTATCCCTTTGGGTGACTAATGGGATCAGCAGAGGTGTGGAGCCTGGAATCTGTCCAGGAACAGCAAACCAGGTAGAGAAAGAGATAACTTATAGGACCCACACAGAATTTAGAGATCCCCCCCACCAAACACACACTCACACACTCATGCACACACTTAAGAGATAATGTTGGGACTGTGGGCAAGTGGAAGTATTTAAAATCTAGGTGCTCACTGAGAACACCTGTAATGAAGGCAGGGCAGCCTACAGGGGCAATAGTTAAGCACTCAACTGGTTAACTAAAAGCTCACTTGAACTCACCATGGAAGAGTTACAAAAGTTTACAGTCTTGGAAATTCTATTGGGCAATTCTTCTCTTTGTTAGGGAGTTCTGGTGGCCTCATAGTAAGAAGCTGCAGTACAATCTCTAAGATAGTGGCTCGAGGCCACCATCTGCTCTGTGGGAGAAGGATGGGCAATCGCCTCCTGTGTGATTACCTGTCTCTGAAAACCCGCCGGAGGGTCAGCTATGGGTGGGTTCTGATTGAATGGTACACAACAACACTGCCTTGTTATAAAATTTCTGTGATTAGGAGTCCACTCAACAAGTTCAATTTGGGTTGGTTTGTTTTGTTGGTTCGTTTATTGGTTTGTTTGTTTGTTTGGTTTTCGACTGGGGGAGGGGAGTTGAGGGCAGAGGAAGTTTGTTTCTCTGTTTTGTTGTGGAGACAAATACTTCCAGGTTCTAAACCTTCCTGCCTCTTTATTTATAACTGTGTTAAGGTAGACCTGTCTAAGGAAAGCAAACACTGTACAGCAATGTGATGGAAATTAGAGACATGGCCAAAGCAGTAAGGAGTTGTGCTGCCAGTCCAATAGGTGGTTTGAATCCACCAGCTGCTCCACAGGAAAAAGAAAACCCCCTGGAGGGTCAGCTGTCAGTCAGTTCCAACTTCATATCATTCATATTGGATAAGTCAACAGTTAAAGATAAAAGAGTTTGACAAATGCTGTGGGATGTGGCTTGCAATTAGCATATGTTAACAGACTATTGTGTCAGTATCTCTGTGATGCAGGATTGAAGCTAAGAGAACTGAGAGTAATAATAGCTCAGAAAAGAGAATGAGTCAAATAGGCAGGGATGACTAAAGGAGATTCCCTCAAAGTTGGGTGATAATTGATGGGTGTGATGATGATGAGCAACAGTGATAATTGTGAGCATCTGACCAAGACTGAAGGTTGTGGAAAGTTCAGTTACATAGGCTGTGTAGTATTTTCCCATTTGAAGTTTGTACCTATTGTTGTAGTTGTTGTTGCTATGTTCCATCCAGTCAGAGCCAACTCACAGCTGACCCTCCAGGGCATTTTCAGAGCCTGTGAATTGTATAGTAGATTTCCCATCTTCTCCCATGGTGCCGCTGGATTCCAACCGAGTGTGTTTGGCTCAGCAGAACAACTCTTTACCCACTAGGCCACCAGTTCTCCCTATAGATATAGACTTATCCCTTATTATGTATTATAAGAGTGAGATAAATAATCCACGTTTACTCTTACAGACTTTGGTTAAATATTATTATACTAAATATATCTGATTATCCAAATCTAGAAAGCTATACCCATCACTTTTGAGCTGTATACTTATGTCATAGCCAATAAGAAAGAACTGGGTCTGAAGCACTTTCAATATATTTGTGTAATCGTGAATTTTCACTCTGGTGTAGAGATTAGGTGAAGGATATTGGGAAGATCATTAGCACTGGTACCACTAGAGTTAGTGTCACCAAGTGAGATATCACCTTTTCCTCCTATGGTCCTCTTCTCGTGACCAAATTAGGCAGAATACTGCTTGTTGTTTTATTTGCTATCAAGTCAGAAACAACTCATAGCTGACCCTCCAGTGAGCTTTCAGAGGCTG